TGGTCATGAAAATCCATCAAAATTTTTTAAAAATATAAATGACTGCAACCTTTGCAGATTATGCACAATTTTGTTTTCTTTTTTTGATCAATATACACAGTGAAGGAGAAATATGTTTAAGTATTCTAATGACTTACCACTAAGTGGACAAATTTGAGACAAAAGAACAAATACCACCACAGATGGCTTAACGTTACCTCCTGAACATGGCTCTCATTGCCATATGGATCACGCGTGAACAGCAGCTCCTTCTTCCATCTGTAATGGCCCTACCAAAAGGGAGGTCTTAACAGAAGCAATACATATTAATAACAAACACAAACACAGGCTTGCTAAATATTTTGACTTACATTCTTGGCTCCAAATTGTGGCACTGGGGAGCTTTCAATACATATGCATAACCTTCCAATCTCAAGGTTTCAATAGAATGCTTAAGTATGGCTTTCTCTGTAGCCAGGAAAAGTAGCTTAGTTTTCTAGTGTTGTACTTTTTGCAAAAGAACATTTATACAAATTTCAGAGTGTCTTGTATTATATAATAGTGTATCTCTGAAAAGCCACTTGGCATATAACTCAGCCATTATATTGAAATATGTCAGGGGCTGAGGAGATGGGTCAGTGGAATAAGCGCTTGCCTGGCAAGCACAAGGGCCTGAGTTCAAGCCCCGGTTCTGAAAAAAAAAAGAGGAAAAAAAGAAAAAGGAAAAGAAAAAAGAAATATGTCTTAAATATACTGTGAAAAAACTAAAAAAAATATCTAAACAGAAACAAAAACAAAAAACAACCTTGTAATGAGTCCTCTTGTATTCTGTAGAATCAGTAAAACTTTCTCTCTCTCATGGACTTTGATCTCTGAAATTATTAATAATATGCAAAACATCATGTTCTTTTCAAAGATGAGGTACTTCAAACCGCTAGAGTTGTTTTATAGGACTGTGATTTGCATTTCTATGTTCTAATGAACAGGGTTACAGCATCTATATTTGCTGTTCTGAAGAATGCAGGTGTTAGAGGTAGACCCCTGACTTCACGAGGCAGGACCTCCAACTTACCAAATCTGCGACCTCTCCTAAAGATGCTTTAGTTTCTCCTCCTCTAAATTGAGTACAATACTTTAATGAATTATTGTCTATATTAACTAAAAATACAATACCTTGCCTAATATATATTAATACTATTTGCCACATAGTTTGAAGTGAAAAATACAGATTTCCAAAAATATCTCATTGGCATTTAACAGTGTGTATAGAACATATTTTCCTAGCCTCTTCTTTTCAAAACAATGAAAATATCCCAAGATGGAGTGTGGTGATGAATGCATAACTATAAATGTACTAACGACCACTGATTCACATACTTTATTTAATTTTATTTTATTTTTGGTATTGGGAATGGAACTCTGGACCTTGCACCTGCCAGACAGGTACTTGTGCCACTGAGCTATATTCCCTGACCTGATTCACATACTTTTGAAGAGTACCTTGTGTGGCATGTGAATTACATGCCAAGCCACTTTTTTTTTTTTTTTTTTGGTGGAACTGGGGATTGAACTCAGGCCCTTGCGCTTGCCAGGGAAGCTCTTATTCCACTGAGCCATCTCCCTGGCCCCCAAGCCACTTTCTTTTGAAGTCTCCAGGCCATACTTTACTCTCCATGTTCAGTTTTCTCGGGGCTTCTTGACCTTTCAACATCGCTCTGTATTCATAGACCTTCTAGAACAATTGTTCCTCGTATGTCTACTTCTCCTCTTCATGATTTTTTCAAAAAATGCTTTTATATATTTCTTTTCATACCTGAGTTTCTCTTTCCTCTTTTCTCCCTTTTTCCTTTTTTGATATATACAATACACATATAAGGAAAAGTCCAAAAGGATACATGCAATTCAAACTGTAAATAATATTTATATCTGAGAAAAGGGATATAGATAGTGTTTTCTCATATTTTTTAAAACTTTATTTATTTATTTGGTACAGGATCTTGCTCTGCAGTTCAGACTCATAATGATTCTCCTGTCCCAGTCTCCCTAGTGCTGGGATTACAGGTGTGCACTACCATGCCTGGTCTCGGTGGCTGGCACAGATACCCGGTGTTCTTGGGCCCACATGTCATGCGGTACTGGGGATCAAACCCAGGTCCTTGTGCTTGCCAGGCAGGAACTCAGACTGTCAAGTTATTTCCTCTGTCTTTTCTGCATTTTTAAATAGTAATTTTTAGATGCTGTACTTAATTGAAAAGAGCTAATGAAATGTTAGGTATGCTGATGAAATATTTAAAAGATCAAATACTTGTACTTCTTAATCAGACAGACTCTTCAGCCTGTTCCCTGTTTTACTGATGAGACTGATCACAGAGGTCACACCAGCAGGCCAGCCTTCTACTACCTACACAGCTTTCAGAGTGATTTTCTAATGACCTTGCCAACCTGGTGTTTCATGGCTTTGAGCAGCTCTTTTTCAGTCCTATTTCTTTTTCTTTTCTTTTTTTTTTTCCTTTTTTTTTTTTTTGCAGAACCGGGGATTGAACTCAGGCCCCTGCGCTTGCCAGGGAAGCACTTATTCCACTGAGCCATCTCCCCGGCCCCCAAGCAGCTCTTTTTCAGTTGCCAAAGAAATGCTTGGATTTGATGTAGAAGGCTTTCACACCCCAACCCTTGCTATTTTCCATTTTCAATTTTTTTAACTGTCTAATAAATACTTTATTTTAAAAAAGAAAATAGAAATTAACACTATTGGTTTACTAGCAAACACACCATACATTTGGGGTTGGTGAGAACATACTTTCTGGGTCACTTCTCAACAGATGTGCCCTTTTCCTCTGACTCTCAAGATTTGCTGTAATGCTAACCCCATCTTCCATATGTCTTATACACCTATGTTCATAAAATCATCAACTACACAACAATAATTTAATGAATTTCAATAAAAGCGAGGATGAATTAAAGAATTTTAAGAAGGGGTCAGGTAGGCAATCTGGATAACCACATATTAAAGTAGTAATTCTCATCTTTCCTTGTCCCCAACTCACTATGTGGATATTAGACTGCCACATGGCAGCCAGGAGTGGTGGTGCACACCTATAATCCCAGCACTTAGAAGGATGAGGCAGAAGGATCACTGAATCTAAGGCCAGCCTTAACTACATAGCAAGATCCAAACAAATAAACAAACAACACAAAAGATACCCACTTCTTTATGGGGGACAATGGAGCAATAACAAATTTGAGTATTAATGAACAGATAGTAAGTAAAATTCTCAATTCCTTATCTTGATTGTGAATATCACATCTTTCTGCAATGGGAGAGTATGAACATGGCTCATCTTATAATCACATCCAATTTTTTTTTTTTTTTTTTTTTTTTTTTTGGTGGTGGAACCAGGGATTAGAACTCAGGCCCTTGTGCTTGCCAGGGAAGCACTTATTCAACTGAGCCATCTCCCCGGCCCATCACAACCAATTTTTTTTTTTTTTTTTTTTTTTGGTGGAACCAGGGATTGAACTCAGGCCCTTGCACTTAGCCAGGCAAGTGCTTATTCTACTGAGCCATCTCCCTGGCCCCACATCCAATTTTTAACTACTTCATTTTTTTGAGAAATTGGACTTATTTATTCAAAGGACTAAAAAATTAAAAAAATATGCCCTCATTGAATTTTATACTTAGCAAACACACCTTGAAAACGAAAAGTAAAATATTTTCCAGTTATACAAAATTGAAATAGTCTAATACCTCCAGACATAGCACATAGAAAATAACAAAGACCATAATCCAGAAGGCAAGAGAAGTAGCTACATGGTCCTGGATAAAGAATAAAGAGCTCTCAAAATGGTAGTTATGCAGGACTACATAAAATATAATTGTATTGGATGAACCCATTTAAAAGATCCTTGAAGAGATTATGGGGCCACAGAGGAAAGTGATAGACGATGTAGAGTGAGCCTAAGGAGAGTCACCTGGAGAAAAAAAAAACATTCTCTCAGGCTTTCCCAGAGAGCAAATTGGTCAAGAATGGCTGTGACTCATCCACATGGCTGACACTGACAAAGGATCTACAATCTGAGGTACAGGGTTTCAGGGTAAATGCTGAGGGGATCTGACTGACATTGGCAGATACAAAAGTTACATTTCTTGTTATATGGGTCTTGCTTTATCTTGGTCTTAACCATCCAGCAGAAAGTTATAAAAATGAGGTACAAAAAGTAAAGCCATATTAATATGCTGAGCTGTAAAAGCCTCAAGTCAACAACTTCTGACATTGCCAGTCCTATGGATAACCCACTACTATTATGGACTACTGGACTATATTGGATTATTTGCTGAATTCACATGCCTACAATATTTAAATGACAATGAATACCCATCTCTGACAAAACTAAACAAAAAAAGGGGATACAAATGAAAGACAATTTTGTATTTGTATATATAAAAT